TGGTTTTATAACCAAAGAATCACGTAGACATTAACCCAAATGAAGGAAAGACCAATAATCCGTATACATTAACGCACTCGAACACAACACGAACTCTTCCAGATTTTATAATGTAATTAGAAGTCGACTTGGAATATCAAAGTCAATGAGATGAAGCATCTAGTGAATATTAAAGGATTGCGATGTAAGAACTTTTCTCAATTGATCCTGCTGGGATGATCTCGCTTTAGGCAAAGGTTAAATTAGCCAGAGTTGTAAAAGAAGCAACAAAAGGCAACGGCGCAATTTGTCACGAAGAGTAAAGGGTTTTGTGCATTGAAACATTTTTAAGTTCTTAACTTCTTGGTCGTATAGAAAACGTTCATTTTAAAGAGATTCTTTTAAAGCTAGTCAAAACGGTGGACATACACATAACAATGAGGGAGATACAAAGTGTGTTTAAAATAAATTAAATAATTGCCTCATAGGCACTGGTATAGGGTTTGGAAGGACGTTTAAGCTTTTCATTATTTCAATTCAAACGTTAGGCCTAACTTACTCAAGTGTTAATTAATTTAAAGTATGCTTTGCAACCGGAAGAGAAAGCGGAAATATAAGGCGGTTCTTTTACCTGCTGTGCAATTACACATCCATAATAGATTTTATAATAAACAATTTAACCGCTTAGTTTGATATTTTCAAATCCAGGAAAGGGGTTTGAATTCCTTGGGCTACCCAGTACGATATGTAAGTGGAGTTGGCGCGTGTATAGAACACTGGCAACTACAGTGTATAATTTAATTTGAAGAGTTATAAAGTGTATACTCTCTTTCAAAACTCTTACTTGAATCCAATAGATGAAACGGAGTCGAACAATTAATATATTATAGTAATATAATAAAATAATCACTTGCTAGTATTACTCTTTTACATAGGATAGAGATGTTTCACCCGAATCCTAGATTTTGGTTTAGCCACTTTACCTTCATTTCATTGAGCGGAGCGAAGCTCTTTGAGATCGACTTCAATGCAAACTTTCTAACACATTAACTCAATAACGGCTGGACATATTTTAGCTGAACTTAATTACCAAGGTTGTTTTGTCAAATGTTTGGATGGTTTGGACGAAACCGATTTCAATTTTGATAATGCCAGTATAATTTAAAAAGTAACTCAAAGTTTTTAAATTTTAACATTGGTTAAATGGGTTGCCATAATGGTTACAAGATAACGACGTAAATGTAAACAAAATAAAGAATCATAGCATATGTTAAAATCAAGCCACGACCTAAACACAGTACAAAGGGGAAATCGGATGATGACCACTGATCAAATAATACAGAGAAAGTCTTAAGTTTACATTTACGTCGCAATTTGGAAACGACCACTGATTGAATAGGTGCAGTATTTTACAGATTTGATTTACGTAGGTTGTAACAAATAACATTGTTATCTCATGTTACTGGGAATTAAACCAACTACATGATTCTGCAGTTTTAAATAACTAGGTATTCTCAAATCAATATTTTTATCTTAATAGGCTATTATGAGCATGCTTTCTTATTATTTCATTTGAAATATTTTTGGTGATATCATCGTGTTGGCAACACACTTGTTGTATTGATTGTTCTGTTGGCAACGACTTAGGGTATATTATTACCCAAGAAGGATAACGTTTTTTTGTGTTTTAGTTTTACAAGAAAATACCCAATTCGCAGAAGAGTGTCATATATTAAGGAAAATTTCAGAATGCATTCTCAAAAACTGCCTGATATTTGTAGTAAATGAAGACGATCAATAAACGCCTGAAACGCACTAACAACTACGCCTACTTTTAACAATGTTTTGAGATAGTTGAATGTAGAACACTTGCTTGAAAACAATGTTTTTCATAATTATGTTAAATGTACAAAATCTAAGAAAACAAACCTCATAAGGTATGGTGGCAACTATTTGTGCAATTCTCTCAAAGCAGGCAAGTCTTGAAAAAGTTACATCTGCTAATCATATGAATCCATGCAGGATTATTTCTGCCTAAACTGCGAAATCTGGCCAAGATTGAGAAAATGTCGATTGGTCGATTCAAGGTTGGGTTTTACCAGACATTAGCAAGCAAACACAGGAAAAATACCGATACAAAGGATGTTATGTCCACATATGTACTAATGAAACTTGTTATAGATATTGATAGTTCTGAGCGAAACTGATAAGTTAAATTGATGAAACATTTTAATTTTGTATTACTAGCTGACCCGGCGAACTTCGTATCGCCTAAGTTATAGGTTTCCCCTAAGACAGACCGATGGAAAGAAAGTACCGTTACGTTTAATTTTCAAGATGATCTCGTTCGCATCGCTCAATCACGTCCTGGTTGAAGTTCGCTCGCTACGCTCACTCACCTTTGGGTTGGAGCTCGTTCGCTACGCTCACTCACCTTTAGGTTGGAGCTCGTTCGCTACGCTCACTTGCCTTCAGGTTAGCTCGTTCGCTACGCTCACTCGCCTCCAGGTTGAAGTTCGTTCGCTACGCTCACTCACCTTTTGGTTGCAAATTAGCTGTTGTCATAAATGTAAAAGAAATAATAGTGCTGCACCCTGTTGGTAATCCTTGTAACTTTAATGCTATTGAACATCATAGAACAGAACCAACTTGTTTAATTGAAACAGCTGTTAGTTAAGATTCATTAATTCCATTTCTCATAAGGTTAACATGGGAAACTCCAGAGCCACTGGGGCGGAGCCCTTTTAAGAATTTTGAAACGGGAAATAGTTTACGTCCGATTCGCATACCTACAGAATTTACACACCAAATTTCATAACGATCGGTGAAGTCGTTCCGGAGGAGTTTGCAGACAAACACTGTGACACGAGAATTTTATATATTAGATATCTATACACATTTTATTTATTTATTGCTTTATTAAAAACCATGGAACGTGACCGCTCCGCTCAACCGGATTTCACTGCTATGAAAGCAATCCTCGTTTCTTTGTTCACATTTGACTACCGACAATTTGTCTTTTATTTTAGGCAACAAGAAAGACTGCCTTTTAAAGAATCAACGGTTTGATCATAGGTTTAAACATATAGTATTAGTAGGATATATTGTTTATAATAAAAGTTGTTTTGATACCCCCCACAGACAAGCCTTTTTGTAGCTTGGAGCAAAAGTGTTAGTTAGGTCCAACGTGCATGCAAATACCATTTGGAATTGTAAACTATAGACTTAGCTAAATTGCGTATTCGAATTACTATAATCCGAGTAAGTTAAATACCTTTAAAATTAAAGTGTTTGATTTTTAAACTCAATTTAGTAATTTGTGTTAAATTTGATTTGGTAATATATATGTCAAAATGAAGATCAACAACATGTTGGGTTTGAATACTGTATACCGTCTTCTGAAAGGTAAGAAGGTCTAGAACAGCACGGAAATGTCGCCAGGTACGATAAGGTCATCACGACCTTTCTATGAGTCTGTTCTACATTCTATGTTAAAGGTGACACTTTTTACTAAAGGAAATCGCAAAAAAACTTGAATGTACCATAGAGGCTTTATTTTCAAATTTCAAACTCTGAAACCATACTAGAGTATTTTTTCGTCCGTAAATATTTAAGTATTTGTCAAACTACTTTAATGATTAAGGTTGAACGCGAAGCTGCTAACGGCAAAATTTAAAAAATATTTAATTGTAAAACAATCCTTGAGATTTTTTAATCTAAACTCTAACACTGGACACCATACTTAACAACTAGCCTCAAAAGTAGCCGATTGCGAGTTTAAATCGTTTTTTTTTCGAGAGACGATTTTATTAGCAGAGTCCGAAAATGCGATTTCTTTGGAAAAAAATTAAAACGTGCTGTGAAAAGTGATACATTATGGTACGAAAAGTACCGCTAATTTTATAAGGACGCGTTAAAATATCAACTAATTACCATAACTGTACAATCAATGTAAGTTTTTCATAGCTGATTTAAAAACCAACATAGTTTTTTTTACATATATTGCGTTGTCTTTATTGATGGTGGTGAATCGACTGTGCTCGAATCTGGGTCGAACCAGCAGATTTAGCATTCTCATGGATCAGCTGAAGATAATGTGGGGTACGGTGTAGATATAGACCGGTAACGTATGAATTTTTTGGCATTTCACGAATTTTAGAACTACGAAACCAAACAAATCTAATCAAATCACAATATTCTATAACTCCTGCATGTTCTTATTGTTTTTGCAGAAAATATATATTTTTCATAGATGTAGTTTGCCGTCTCATCCTATCGTATTTTTTATAAGAGCAGTACACATGTTAAATTAATGTCAAAACTGTGATAGGCGGTATTATTTCAACGTTGGCAAACCTCTATAGGGGTATGTACACGTAAAATTTGTGAATCAGATTTTCCAAATGTATATGAATGTTTTTATTTACTTTTAATAAAATAAATTGCTGCAGCTTTCTAGACTTGCAGAGTATAAAATCGTTACCTCTACTGATCAGTAGATTTTAATTGTGTTGTAATTAATTAATTAGTCATTATATTGCTTCATTACATCAGGTTATTAAGCCTATTAACATCAAACGGCATTACTAAATTAAGCGATTGATCGAGGCATTATAGTAGTGTTATCATTTTTTTGATGATCAAGAAGTTATAATTTTTAAAACATAAAATATTATCACTGAACCCTTTTGTTTATCATCAAGGAGCAGGTCTACTTCCTTAATAATTCAAAATTTCAAAAATACTCATACAGTACGTACACTAGATTTTTTAAACTATAAAACCAACCTGTCAGGTTAATATAATATTTTAAAACTATAACCATTTTGTTATTTAATAATAGAAAATGAACGCCTGACCTACATTTTAGCTTAAATAGTTCATCATTGATTTCTACATAATATAGTACTAATTATGCGCAAACTTTTAAATTTGTATGCATTTCACTGTGATTACCTAACGATGCCAGTTAAAAGAAATGTACTAAATAGACAGTTTCGTTAAATTGAACAAAAACTTACCTCAGATAAACTATGGATGGTTTTGGATGCTAAGAGCCTCCACAGGGGAGTAAACTAGCGATGCGATTGTTATCGTATTGAAATGTCACGATATGAAAACTGGAGGATCTATCGAGTGTGCAGAGTAATTTAAATTTGTAACATATGTATCTCTTGGTTAGAAACTATGGCACAGATGTAATAAAATGTATATACTGTATTTAATTTTTGCCTGTAGATATAATTACTGTTTGATAATTTAAAAAGTATAAATTAATTGTTGATGATATATTTAAAAGAATATATATTGTTTATTGTCTAGCATTTACCACAAATGTTGTTTGTAGAAATATAAAGGACATCTATGTATTTTACGAAAAAGAATTACGTTCTTAACTACAATTACACATACAACAGTGTCGAAAACACACGAAGTACCTACGATCATAGATAAATCATACTCCCTTGCTACGATGAAATCAGTACGATTCGATATCATCGATTACTTTCACCCGCCATAATACTGTATCGAATCGCACTGCGATCTGTCGTCTGCTACGGTCCTCCCAGCTGCGGTTGTCATAGCAACCGATATTGATTCTCCCCCTTCCTTGGCCGTCAGACCAACATAAGAAAATGGTTATTGAATAAACTAATGGTACAAAAACTGCTCCTAGGACAAGTTTGGTCATTTCGTGTCATTTACAAGGTTGAAATAAGCTTCCATGCTTAATCGCTTTATTTGTGATAGATGACACAAAGACCTATTTTGATATTTTATGTTTATGGCGTTCTTATATTTTTAAAATTACTTTTACGTTTGTATAAATCATTAGAGAGTTATATGTTGTTATACTAATATTTAGGGGAGCGAGCTGGCGTAGTGGTTAGAGAGCGGGACTTCAGTCCCTGAGGTCCCTAGTTCGATTCCCGCCAAGTCGCCAATGGATTTTATCTAAGTGATAATGCCGTAACCCCTAGGTCTAGCCTGAAGTAATGTGAAAAACAATCCCAGGCTCGTGCCTAGCGTCGAAAAAAACTAATATTTAAGGTACATACCTTCACGTCCACAGTTCATAAATTAATGGTCAAACCAACTACATGTTTTGCCTATACATAGGCATTGTCAAGTGATCCTTCAAGAACGTTTCGTTCATTGTAGACTCGACAAAAAACATTTAAACGTTCGTTACGATACATTGTACGAAACATTGAACAATTATTAGGCCTACTATTTACCGGTCGCGGTACGGAGGCAGACTTTAGTCATTAGTAGATGTAGACTTTAGTCTGCTTAGTAGGCATACTAAGTGTTAAATGTTTCGTACAATGTATCGTGTTTTATGTGTATTTATTAAAATTTTTTTGACGAGTCTACAATGGACGAAACTTTCTTGACGGATCACTTGATAATGCCTATGTATAGGCGAAACATATAGTGGGTTTGACCATACATTTATGAACTGTGGACGTGAAGGTATGTACCTTAAATATTAGTATAATCAACAGTTCAAAGGCTACAGTGAATTTTAATATGTTGTTATCCTAAAACCCAAGTTTTCAAATTGTGAAAAACCAGAGAAAACGTAGAATTCACCTTTGACCTATAACACAGTTAACTGAAAGATACCCAATAAGCGTATGCGTTACATATGGTTACATCTACATGAACCAGCTGTAGCAATACAATTTTTAAACAAGCGAACAGAGTAAGCCTCTGTAAAAATTCCATTTTCTTCTTTAGTTACAGACATGGTTGCTGAATATTTATTTATGATTAATTTTGCAAACAGTGTCATTTGGAGGCTTCTGTGCGACATGGTCGATAGTGTAAATTAAGTTGACTTTTTAGCCTATAAAGGAGGCTCTATTCATCATCGGCAATTTGTATTCGTAAAGAAGCGAAAATGGTAAAATGTTAATAACATTCATTATCAATGGTACCGTAATGCAAAAGTGGGTTTACAGTAAAGTGATGGTCAAGTATAGCACTAGCATATGCTACCAGCCAAGATTATATGAGTGTAATGATAACAATAGTAATAAGCAACAAAAACAGCTTCTGGCAATGAAAGCCCCTTTTTCACAGGCGTGGTGTCAAAAATGGCAATTAAAGTTTACACATCTCATATCGAACCTCTGTGAATTATGTTTAAAAGTGTTATATGGTTACGACAAGTGTCGAAATGTGTAAAAAACGCAACCTTATGCTAAACATGTTTCAGTAGTATTTCTTAATCCATCCTCAGAATGTGGGTTAAATCATTTATTACTTCCCAAACGTTTTTCATTACATCCTAATGGTACTGCTGAGAAAATTCTTTTGCATGTCTGTGAATGCTAAAGTGCATTGATCTTACATTTATTTATTTATAGAACAATATATAAACTTAAAAATTATTAAGACTAATATAATATGTTTGTAAAACTCTGATTTTCCTGTGAGTGCAGTAAAATTCACCCTAAAATAATACGGGGAATTCAAGCCGTAAACACTGAAATTACCGTACCAGATAAACATGCCATAACAAAGTCTAGAAGACTATAACTCTATTTTAAGTACCTAATGTCAGTTATATACTTGAATGCACAGTGTTGGTCTTGGAGGGACTCGCAATGAACGGAGAATCCTTTCTCTTAGAGCGAGAGACTCGATGTTGGAGGAAAGGCGGTAAGCAATTTTTGGCCCAATGATCTAAAAAAATGTTTGACACAAAGTTAGAAATTCAAATGAGTAGACCTTATACAATTAACATTGCATCGTTGTAAGTAGAGTCTGTTGCAACACATCCCTACTTCGCCATCAGCATAAGCGAGTTTGGCGTCTTATTTATTTTACGAAGCTCTGTGGCCGCTGTTTTAACAGTGGATGGTTAACATCCTCACTCGTCAACATTGGAGGGTTCGGAATCACTGCTGAGGAAATCAATGACGTCAAAGTTCAAAAACACGGATAACTTGTACATCGCGTGCTGAAGTAGCACAGCATCGATTGTTGCTTGCATGACAACGTCTGTATTGCAACTCTCTCGAGTGTTGTATGCTGCTTGTATGCTTGTTGTGATGTGATGTGCGATAAACTGGCGAAGGTATAATAATGGGGGGACAAGCTTTGCTAGTCAAAGGTTGTATGCTGCTTGTATGCTTGTTGTGATGTGATGTGTGATAAACTGGCGAAGGTATAATAATGGGGGGACAAGCTTTGCTAGTCAAAGGTTGTATGCTGCTTGTATGCTTGTTGTGATGTGATGTGTGATAAACTGGCGAAGGTATAATAATGGGGGGCAAGCTTTGCTAAGAATGTATAAGTTTGACAACGACACCAGTATCACCACTCTAGCCTTTAGAGTAGATCGGAGCAAAGTCAGAACCTTTTGATGTTTCAAAACTGGAACTGGACCCGGTTGTCTTGATCATAATGGTCCTAACTAAAGGACTAACTGGTCTTAACTGTCAGTAACAAAGCCATAATATCATTTATCCAACACATTTACTTATCACCTTAAACACGCACCCTTAGGTGTAGGAAAAAAACTTAATCTATGAAGGGATGTATGCTTTGTTGGACTTTCTTTCATGATCTGTAAATAAGCAAGCAATTAACTATTATTTTTATTTAAGTCATATGTTTATGTTTCTATATTTGATTATTGTCTTTGCGTTTTTAACTAGTTTTCTATTCTGTCTCAATTTATTTTAATATTCATGAGTTTTTATAGTCATTATTGAACTATTTTTATTACATTTATTAAGCTCTCCCCTTTAGGTTATGGGCCCAATGGGCTCTAGACTTGTCATATCCCTGAATCTGTCTTTACTACATATGTCAATTCAAATAATGGTCAAGACAGATGTTTATTGTTTATGTTTACACTTTTACATTCTTCAGGTTAGTTGTTCATTACAAATTATTATGCAAGGCAGTTCACTTTTTAGTTATTTAATAAATAGTTTACATTCTATCCAGTGTGAGTAATTATCAGCATTAATAATACCAGGCCACCCATTTGAGTCACAACAAGACTCATTAATTTAATACATTCCCAAGTAAAATCAGTTTCAATCTAAATGATTTATCAGTCAGCCTAGGTTGAAGTGTAAAGGTTTGTTCTTGTAACATCTCATAACATGTTCACAAATGACTAGTACTGTAAATTACCAAATTGAACCACTAAACAAAAATAACTATGACACTTGGAGAATTCAGGCACAAGCAATATTAATAAAATCTGATCTATGGAAAAATGTCTGCGGAGAAGAACCATGTCCTGATGACAGAGATCCTGAAAAGAAGAAAATATGGTTGAATCAAGACTTGACAGCAAAATCAGATTTAATACTATCAATCTCTGCAGGTGAGCTTAGGCATATAAAAAGCTGCAAAACCTCAATAGATATTTCGGAAACTTTGAATAATATTTATGCGTCTAAAGGCCCTGCCCGTAAGGCAACACTTAAAGAAATTCATTCAACACAAATTAAAAAATGGATATAATGTAAGAAATCAGTTAGACGAGTAGGCCTAATATAAAGTAATATAGTAATCAGTAATAAAACATAAATTAATGATGCTGTTGATAGGTTATTAGAATTAGACATTATTATAAATGATGATCTTTTGTCCATAATTATGTACGGTCTCAATTCATCATTTGAGAACTTTAAAGTCAATTCCACAATTAATATGCTCTCCCACTTATGCTTCTCGTGATGTACTTGACTGCTTGGACGTTAAAAGTTAAGCCATAGATACTATAAACATGGTGGCCGAGCTTTGGTAAGAGATTACACACAGTGTATGATAACACTCTGGTGTATTGAACGCTACTCAATGTTTTGCGTAATATGCTATGTTTTAAACCATTAGCCTACAAATAATTAATGATCATCGAACATCCGAACCGAGCTTTGCTAAATAAATAAGCTATTAGCTGTCAACGTTTAAAACGAGAGTAGTAGGCTACCTACTGTAGTGCTCGATACCATTGATACCGTACTTACCACAACAATAATACCGTAACAACAAGATAATGGATAACCATAGATGGATTGATAATGGATAC